TGGATCATCTTGGTTTGGAAACTTAACTTCCAAATATAGTACAAGATCATTTTGAAGAAAAATTAAGTACCTTTCGCCCTTTAGAGTATCGTTTAAAAAGGTATTATTACCTAAGTAGTATACCATACCAATTAAGCCAGCCCACACATTTACCTTTACTGGATACTGGATATGATTTTATTTAACCCAATGAGGATTAGCGTCGCTCCAGTGAAGATTTATCCACCATTTGAAGGTCAATGCAAGAAGTGGCTAAGTCACATTTTCAATTAAATTGTTATTGTGGCTTTATCTAAGAGTTTTCACGTAAGTTGAAAACCAGGCAAACTCCCATTGAAGTATATGCAAACTAAGGCACTTGGGCACATATTTCTGCCACTTTGAAAATACCACCTGAATCCTTACGTGAAACACTCTTAGATGAAGCCACAATGTAAATTTAATTGAAAATGTGACTTAGGCACTTCTTGCATTGACCCCTTCATTTAAAGTAAACGTACTTTTACCGAAAAATATAATCCAATCCAAGAATATCTGGTTTTCATTTATTCAATTATCATTTGCTAGTAACATTCAATTGTTCGATGGGGATCATCCTTGGTTAGTTCCTGTACTCTTTGCATCTTAAATGGATGGAACTTCAAATCGTTATCGCGAGCAATTTATCGAGCTTAACTAACAGGATTTTCTTGTAAATAAATTAGCAATATTAACATTAAGCTTTGCATCATCTTTAACAGTAGGTTGGCGTTGTCTAGGAACATTTCTTACATGTACATTTTCGCGATATTTTGCTTCTATTTTATTCTTAATAAAGGACAACTCCGGTGATATGTTAAACAAATATTATAAATATTCCTTCGCTTCTGAAGATGCCAACATCGTTGGCGAAAAGTTCTTTAAGCACTTTGTGTTTTGTTTTGGTGTTGGGGAATATTTGTAATATTTGTTTCATTTGGCAAATAGTAGAAAATTCTTGATGCGTTTCGTTAAATAATAATAAGCAACCTTTGTCTGATTTTGAAATCTATCACCAAATACAATCAGCATTATTTATTTATTTAATAGTATATTTATGTATAGTATATTTATTTAATAATATATATTTCACTGTATAATTCTGTAGTTTAACAAAACAGTTCTGTAAGTGGTACCATTTTAGTTAAATAGTATATTTCTCCAACATTTTTTTATCCTTTCACAAAAATTTTAACTTTTCTGACTGACATATTAGTTAGAATCTCAATACGCAAAGTTTCAGTTAAATAAGTCATTTTCACAGTCAATTTTGAATCCGTTACTTGCAATAATCTTGAAGACCTTCCTGTTGAAGATAAAAAAATTCTGTTGGATATAAAAAAGCTTTTTTAATAAATTTAAAAAACGAATAGTTTTATGAAATGTTTTGCACATCGTAAATATCCTAACAATATAATGTGGCTTAAATGTTATTTCTTTAACGTAACAAAATAAAATAATTTTAAACTGCATATTGGTATGAATTCCTATTAAAACAAGCTTTAAGGGGTTATTTTTTTTATAAAAGTATAACCATAAAAAAATTTTTAAGATACCAAATTTATTTTAGTTAAGGTTTTTATTCTGTATATACAATTAACAAAAAAAACGGTATTACTTATTTCATTTTAATGAAGTAGTAAAGTTTATGGAACAGTTTTCTCTTCCTTTCTGAAGCCAATCCCTGACGGTTAACAATGAAAATTCTTGAGAATATTGTTCGGGAAGTAAGAGCGTTGTTGCGCTATAAACATGAATATGACATAAACGCTTAACGACCTTTGAACAATTAAAAATCCAGTATGGATCTTGCGTTTTCTTTATCGATGCCACAACATTAGACATCAATCAAGTTTTATGGTAAACTATCAATCAATACTCATATGCATGGCTTTGATAATAAACGAATCATAAATCTGGCCCGAGAGACGGCTAATTGCTAATCGCAAATGACGTCGGTCAATTAATAATTTATTTGGATGGGGTGCGTTATCCCGACCACATGCGTTCCCTAATGACAGGTTGGGTTTGTTGCGTGCACGACACTGACCCATCTGTTTTTGTTTTCGACCATATCTGTATGCGATACCACGGAATCGTCGACAAACCAATGTTTGGAAACTAACCAAATCAGATGCATTAAATATGCATCACATCCGCTGACCGTTGATTTTAAATTCCGTTCACTAGGGAAGAGCAGGGTGTCGCCAATTATTTTCAGGAAAAAATGCTGGAATAATCGGTTTAACCTGGGGTTAAAACGGAAATTATTCGTTGTAAATTATACGTCCAAATTGTAAAAAAATCACCGAGAATCATGAACAGGATGCATAGTAATGTTTAATGCTGTTTGTAGTAAAATAAACAGTTTTAGATTAGTTAAGTTTAGAATTTCCGGAACTCGTTTGTCTTCAATTTAGGCTTTAGATGGGCATACAAAAAAATATTAATTTTCTCAAATTTTTTAATATATTGTTTTTTTAATTTCTGATTTGTTGAATCCGAATTAATGCACAATATCAGTTTTTCAAGTAATTTTAACCCAAATTTGGAAAAAGGCAGTTTTTTATTATTTAAGGTCATCACAAAGTCGTCCACTTCAAAATCCAAACTTTTTTAGTGTGTAAAAATTTGATATGATCATAAATCTTCTCAGAGAGGAGAAAAGACATTGGAAAAATGTAAAAGGATTTTGAAAAGAAACGAGTTCTGCAAAAAAAATATTTCTAATACTTTGGAGTAAAAATTTTTTGACGAGATGGAGCAAGTCTGAGATCGGATTTGAATGTAGACAGTAGAATGTCGAATGTTAAATCAAGGGTCAGAAGCAAAACGTTACACAAAAAACCACAATAGAGAAAGAGTAAGTACTTGACTTATTAAGTATTCACCTGACGACTACATCCTAATTAAATATAACAAAAATCCAAAACATTTATTTTATTAAACAAACATCATTGTCTGCAACCTTCAAACAAACAATAAAATGTTGATTAAATTTTGCATTTGACCTGTGTTTTTATTGATTTTTTTTGCATGCAAATTTGCATAAAAACCCCTAATTGAACTAATCATCGAAATGCCATTAATATTTCACAACAAAAATCAATTTTGTTTTAACCTGAGTTAAAACTGGATTGTTATGATATGCATGTAAGTTATCGTTAGGTGCACCGTGGCAACAAACATCTGCCATTTTCCGCTATTATTATTCCAAATAATTATTTCACAATTAAATATTTTCAAGTCAATTTCAATTATCAATACATTTTATAATTGTTTCGTATGCACTATAATCTATGGTATATTTAAATTTAGAATTATTTACATATTCCTCAGTAATTTTGTTTTATTATTATAATTGTTATTTATTGATTTTTTAACAGAGAATATACATTTTTTCTTTTAAGATACCTACAGGGTGTTAAACTTTTCTTTAAAATCACATTTAAGAGAGCCTTATATTTAGGGTAAAAGTAAACATACATATTGTTTGGAAAGAAACTTGTACTATAATTTTGATGTCTTATAATAAAAGATTTTTCTAACGATGCCTGACAATACACATATTATTTTAGTTTAAAAGTCGTCATAAAAGTTGTGGAACATATTACATAAATTACATGCTATGTAATACAGTTTAAATTTTCATAAATTATAGAACAAATTCGATACCAGTTGAAAGGAGTAATTTTGCTTTTTAATATTTAACATGTAAATGGTAAAACTTGTTTGAAATCATTAAAATCATATATTATTGAAGATATATACATAATTTCAAAGCTGAAATTCTTGCAAGTTTAATTAATAACTCTACCAAATTTGAAAATAAGAATTGAAATAAAATAAATGGTTTTACGATAATGATAAGAGATTTGAAAGAGTTCATTAATATCTAAGCAGGACTTTAGAGCTAAATGGATCACAGGGAATATGCTAGTTTTAAATTATGACTATTTTATTATTTATATGTTTTTAAAAAGATTCATAAGACAATAAATACATTGTATCAAATTGATTGTCACAATGTTTAAAGAAATGTCGGATTTCTAGTTTTCAAAAACCTCGTGAGGAGTAAAATTCGTACATTGCACGGTGGACAAGAATCGGCGAAAAGCGGCCACAAACACAATTTAGGACTTTTTAAGTACATCCAAATTTTTACGTGGTGTTTATAAAATTTGAATTCACTATTTACTAATAAAAAAGTTATAAATGATAAATGACCAAATTTAGAATTAATAAAAAAATTAATTTTTTCTTTAAAATTATTCAAGTTTTAATATTTTTTTTACGAAAAGTCAAGTTGTAAAATTTTGTAGTTTTTTCTATGCTCTAATTATCTATATATCTATGCTCTAATTATCTATATACATTTTGTAAATCTTGTAAACAAGACCATCTTAAATTTGGATCCGAGTTCGAAAATTAATAAGGTTTTTATGTTGTGGTGTACGAAATTAATTGAATTTAAATTTTCACAGAATCAAAACTTTTAATATAGGAAACTAGCCTTGAAAATCAATAATATATATATATATATATATATATATATATATATATATATATATATATATATAATAATATTAAAAAAAATTATATAATTAAATTTTTAACTTATGTTATTAAAATTTAATTAGGTATTTAAACTTCAGGATCAAGATTAATACCACAAAAATATTTTGTTAAACTTTTATAATTATATCTTTATTAGTTTTTTTAATGGATTTTGGTCACTTTTCTGTCATGTAATTTCTTATTGGAAGATTAATTAGTAACAAAGAAAATCTTGTAACCAATCATTTCATTTAACCAAGAAATCTTATTTACCTCATGAATAATACAAAGTTGTGGTCAATTACTCGTACATGTCCGTTCTGGATATATATATATCGTTTACCGTGATTATACGCTTTCTTTTTCCAAATCGCGATGCAAATAAACTAATTTAAACGAAAAATATTTCAATTTACTCGACTTACCCGTGTGTATGTACGTATGTTTTTTCATATCCGACTTTTGATGGAATCTTTTGCCGCAGTACTGACAAGGATACGGCCTTGTGTCCGAATGGATTAAAAGGTGCGTTGATAACGTCGAGGAACGTTTAAAGGACTTTCCACATTGTTGGCACTGAAAGAAACAAGAAAAAGGATGTAAGCAAAGAAACTGGAAAAATTTAAAAACTTTTGAACACCTTTTATTCTGTCGCCTGTTTCGATGTTTCTAAGAGTTCTTAGATGCATCGTTTTCAGTTTTCAGCATCGATATTAGGAGTTTTTATTTTAGACTGTTGACAACTCTTTAAACATTCAAAAAGAAAACTTTTTTAAGAAAAGAACTGTCAACAGAACCCGTGTTTGTTTAAATAGGCTTAATTATTACAAAATGTAAAATCATAAGAAGTAATGTAAACTTTAATTTTATTCATACATTATCATCGAAATAGGCATAGTATACTATAGTATGAAAACCTCGTGTTACAATCACTTATACTTGTATAATAACACTATGATAGTTTGAATTACTAACATTGAGTACGCCCACCTATATTACCTAATTTTGGGCTGCTGATTTCAAAAATGCCACTCGTTTTGCTCCAGGATGTCTAGGGTTCGAAATAATTGCGTAATAAAATGCTCTGCCCAATTATCTCAAAATGTAAATTTTTTGTTAATATTTTGATTATTTATTAAATTATTTTGCCTTAAATCAATTTAGGATATTCAGTATATTTTTGACGTTTATTGTCAAAAATATAAAGGGACTCCATATGAAGTCATCGGTAGATAAATATCAAATAAAATTTGTTTTGTTCCATTGTAGCTATATACTAAAGTAGTATTATATAAGGGATAATCTCCAATCTTATTTATTAAGTCTTCAAAATTTAATATCGAATTGAAGTATAAATGGGCCTTCACCTACTTTATCGTTCAAGCATCTATTAATTTTTGAATTGTAAAATTTAAACTTTAAATTGTATTTTTACTTGAAAGTGATTTTAAGAACCAAAAATGAAAAAAGAGCTGGCAATGGAAGTGGTAATGGAAGTGGCAGAAAAAGAGAAAAGAGACGAACCTTTATGTCGTCGTTAATTTGTTTCATTTTTGTTGCGGTACCTTTACTCCCAAAAATTTTTATGAGATATACTTACTACTTTAATTTTGCAGAAATATTAAATGGACCTGATATACGACGTTTAATGAAAGATCAAGCAATCAAAAATGCTCTCAAAATTGACGAGCTTGTCGCATATGCGATATATATGGCAGTGTTAAAGCTGTCATTGAAAATGTTCTTGGTTCATATCGGGCCTAAAATTGGCGATAATTCATTGATAAAATACTCTCCGTTTGTTAAGAATTAAATATTTGATAGGATTTAATAAATTTAAGGTAGAAAAAATCAAAATTATGCAATGCATTAAATTTTGTGGGCTTAATTTGGATAAAAAATACCGAAACTTGTTTACTTTGTTACCGCTTCAATCCAATAATTAAAATAAACGACAAAAATATCAAATAATGGTTGTTTTTTACATAAAATACATTGAAATTTTAGTTTTAGTATTTAAAATGTCATATTGTTAAGTTAAATATGATCTTTTTGCCGTATATCAAATATTTTAGTACATTTAAGCCAAAATAATTTAATAAATAATTAAAATTCTAGACGTCCTAGAGAAAAAACTAATGACATTTTTGAAATCAGCGGGCTAAAATTAGTTAAACTAAGCTGGTGTACTCATGTTAGAAAAAAAAAGTTTTTAAAACTATCACAGTGTAATTATTGTCGTACTCCACAGATGGAATTTTAAATAAACAAAGGTATAAATGCAAAAACAGAAAAATCATAAAATTTATTATGTTAACCAAAATATAAATAAATGCAAAGAAAAAATATTTCCCTACTTAAATCTTTTTAATGATTTATACATATTTGTAGACAAACATCATTAGGTATAAAAAATTGATTTTGTTATTATGGGTTAATAATTTTTAAAGAAGGGCGATTTCGCTGTAGACGATTCTCGACATCATTTTCTAAATCACAGTATTTGTTACTTTTGTTTATGCCAATACACAAAAGTCATAATAATAATAGTACCAAGCTACTACATAATATTATTATCGCCGAGCATTTATTTCACTGCCGAGCCGATAGCCGAGGCAGTAGATTGTGTGCGAGGCAATTAATAAGCTTTTGCCGTCGTGTTTTATTTTTTTAAGGATTTAATTAAAAAATTTCTGTCACATCATTTTTAGGTTAGGCAACCATTTTTAAGTTTCTACTTATTAAAGTGAAGAAATTATATTCAATTATAAATAAATGTTTCACAATTAACAGACTTTTGTGTTTTTGTACCATATATGGATAAAGCTTATCAAAAAGGAACCAAGCGCCAAAAACTTTTTCTGGGCTTGGTAAAATTATTTATAAAATAACTCATATTTAATAATGCTCAAAGGTGGATTATTATTTGGAACTTTTCTCAAAAGAATTGAGAGGGTTTCCAAATCATTATTAATTTTTTAAGCAGCATTAAAAATGAGTTCTTTGCAAATAATTTTGTTTACACCAGAAAAAATTTTTGGCGGTTGGTCCGGATTCGATAAACGTTATCCATATATTATATAAGAAGATATTGTAACACACTCAATTAAGAAATTAGAGTTTTTGTAAAAAATGTATAAATTAAAGAAATTTGAGACCTTTTAATTCTAAAAACATCACAATTTGATCCGAGCGACTGATGCTATTCCTGAAAACGCAAAAACTGGGTTATACAGAGTAGCTCATCACGTATAAATAATAATTTTATTAAACCTGTTTTTTTATTTAACTGGTAGGAAACTTTTCATGCGTCTAAATGTTGCACCCGCGATAATGGAATTGCCCAGAAGCTATAATTATTAAATTAGTGTTGGATTCACAACCTGTAAGATTTTTAATTTTTAACCAGTATAAATTTTAATATTTGGTTGTAATTTAATACTATAAATATAGGTATAAAAATGTAAAAAGTTTTATAAATGGCATATTAGTCACGAATTTTAATTAGACACGAGCAAAGGTTGCGAGTAAATGTTTAATAAAAATAAGTGTCTAAATATTATAATAAAAAATAATGTATTATTAAATAATTTAAACATTTGTATGGAGCGACATTTATACAAAAATACAAAAAAATTTAACCAGAATTGGTGTAAGGAATCGGTTTTAACGGCTTTTAAAATGTCAGTGTTCTGTAAAAATCAAATTTTTTTCCTTAAAAATGACTTACAACCGTTTAAATTCGATATTTAAGTGAAAGTGAAGAGGATGTTTTAAGAGTACTCTTCTCGAAATTGCTTTATCAGAAAAATAGGCAGTACAAACGTGCATACAAACTTTTTCAACATTGGCGTCAAGAAATTATTTAATAATTTTGTAGGTACTTTCGTAAAAAAACAAAAGTGCTCTTTTAGTTCCACCCTTACTTCCTAAGAAGTCCTTGAAGCCAACTGAATGGCTTGTGCGGGTTAGGGGTAGGAACGGACCGCGGGCTTAAAGTCCCCTCCGAAGGACTATTACACAATAATAAACAGCCATACCCCTGGTGGGATTCGAACCCACGACCTCCGGCTTGTAGTCAGCAGTACTAACCACTAGTCCACCGTCGGCGGTGGTATTAAGATAGTAAAATAATCTCCAAATTTTAGTATTATTTCACAAGAAGCGCACTTTATTTTTGACTATTATATGACATTTGACAACTTTAGCCCGTGACTAAAAAAACCGCAAGCCACTGCGTCCAATAGGCTGTTACACAAATTTCATAAGTCACTTAGTGTTATGAAAACATGTACGATAATGAGCGTTTAAAAGTTGGGAGTTAAAAAGTTTCGTTACTTTTTTTTTAATCACATCTTACCAATATAAATATTTTTTTGAACTAAACATAATTGTAGAGGTATTTTGTTGATCTATCGTATAATTAAAAACTAAATCGAAATTTTAAGCCTCCAAAACAAATAAAAATACCGTCTAATATCAGACCGTTCAAAAAATACACTAAATTATTAAAACATTAAGTAATGTCGAAGGCATGAATTGGGGTGGAATAAAAAATTACGGGGCTCTAAAAAAGCGATGACGAGAAAAATAAATTGTAGAGTGAAAATGAACCGATTCATATGGATTTTTGACGTCGATTTAATTGTTTTGTAATTACTAAATAGGTACTTATTTGTTTTCAGAAACGTATTTTTGTCACGACATCATTATTTAAATATTAAACAATTCTTTTGATGAACCGGGGCTTCTTTATTTCATAATTAAATAAAATCGCTTATAAGTTTCAACAGCTTTAATTCCAATCAATACCCGTTTAAATTGTACAGGTTGTTTTGCAATTATATGTTTTATTATTTCTATTTCTAGTTTGTTAATTGACGTTTTTCTCCAATCCAATTATAAAGGGGGTCCCAAAAATAACTTTAATTTTAAATTAAATGTTAATGCTTAAAATACATCATACATATAAATGTCGTGAAATCAACTCAGGATGGTTCACATAGACTTAAGCAAGGTTTTAACAAGATGCTGCTAAACAATGACGTTATTGCGTTTTGGATATCAATTTCGGCCTTAGAGAAGTTACGATTTAACTCCAGTAGACCTTTTTCTCTGGGTTTATTAAGTTTTAAACTAAAACCGCGAGTTTGTTGGAGCTGTGATAAACGATAAGAGCATCTTCGCTATCGTTACTAGCGATTTTAAAACCAGTTTTATCGCTAGTAATGGTATATCGCTATAGCGACGACGCGTCGCGACGCTCTTATCGTTAATAACAGCTCCAACATACTTGAGGCATAAGACAACATTCGTGAAATTTTTTTGATGTATCATTCAATAATGAATTTTATTTGAGTGCGGTGTTTTTTTTTAAGTTCTTGTTCTACCCTTTTATTTATGATGAATTAAACTTTGAAATATGTGACCTGGACTACGGAAAGGTACCTATGGTTAGAAATCAAGTTTTCGAGAAAACAGCTGTTAAAGATAATTCGTGTCCGTGCGTCGCGTTTGATATTGCGCTTCTACCCACAGGTCTGTGCTTCTACCTCTTCTATTTTCGACTTACCCTTGGGTCTGCTCCTCTCTTTAGACTTCCATTATACAGTGGTGCTTTTACAACAAATATTGTTGTAACTTATTCAAGTGATTTCCCCTAAATACCTAATTTTGTGAACGTTGAAAAAGTTGGAATAATACGTGCTGCTCTTATCATTGTATTTTCGAGATCGTGGTTTTTCGTTGATATGCAGCTAATTTTAAATTGTTTTAGTTTGTGAAAGTGCAGAATGGATTTAGAAGAAGAATTTAAAGGAGGGGAGAAACAATATTTTGCGGATTGTGATGAAGATTACGAAGATCAAGGTGGAGGTGCAGGTGTTAGTGACATAAAAGATGACGTACCAGATTCGTCTTTCGCTATGTCTCTTCAGGATATTGACGAAAATAAAAGATCAAAAAAGCAATTCTTTATCTATTTACAATTTTTTTGCGATTTTTATAATTCATGTTGAACTTTAAGGATGATTGTTGCGGTTTGTTCCATTGAAAAATACATTAAATGTTTTATAAATTTCGATCAAAAAACAAAAATTGACCATAGGTACCTTTCTATAGTCCAGGTCACATATATTATTTATAATTGTATAACAAATAAAATCAAAAATCGTATCATTAACTAATCACTGAAGCCTTATTTCAATGTGAATCTAGAACGAAATTGATTATTCAATTTAACAAGAAAACCTATAAGATTGTAATACGATTCATTTGTACCCAGCTTGATTATTGAACCATTAATAATGCAGGTTACAGCAAAAGACAAACTTGAAAAACAATAAAAGTTTATTACATTAAATCTACATTATTCTAAATCATAGTCCCCATCAGACATAACGACCAAACCATTCTAACGGCTAATGTCTCAATAAATTATTTATCGATGTCTAATCGTAAATACCACCTATTAAATCTAAGCACTTACATTTTCTTCAAACTTTTTACATCGATTTAAATATTATCCATATACCTACAGAAGACATTACCCCATTTTGTTAATGAATCGTTCAATTTTTACGCTGCAGACAAAATTAAATAGATTAAGTTCATGCCTTTAGGCCTATATTTATGTTTAAAACTTTATAAATGGTTATGTAAAAGGATTACTGTTTTTAAATGGTGACTATAAACTTTAAATAAAGATAAAAGTAAATTTAATATTTATGTAGTCCACTTTTTTACCAGATGGTAACAAGTCTTTCTTACCGTGAATTGTTTCTCTCCAGAAGGTCCGATCGTAGGCGCTTTGGTTTGAAGCTCTCTATCATGGTCCCATTTCCATCGGTGATCAAATTTTTTTACAGGACTAAGGATCGTTGATCCAAGACTAGAATCAGCTTTGACGATGGACTTCATCTCTTGCTCGCACAGACTACCGGGAGACCAAATACTGTGTGTCCTCGACCGTCCTTTCAAGGACAAATTTAGGGGAGCGTCCTCATCTGAAAAAAGAATACAACTTTAAGAACATAATGGAAGATTTTTTTTATATAAAAAATATTTTGTTTTATATCCTTAATAATATGTTTGCATGTCATAGGATAAAAATATTTACATCCAGAAGCAGTTGTTATGCAGACAAACGAGGTAAGTGGTAAGCGTAACAAAAACTTTGCTCCTTACTTAAATATACCGGTGTTCCTCAAGGACCTGCATTGGGACCAAATCCCAATTAAATTCAACTTAATGACGCAATTTGTTTTCGAAATGTTTATGCAAATTTATTAAAATTGATTCACGCGCAAAATAATTTTAATATAGTTGGTTTGGCATCATTTATGGGGATGTGTAATGTGTAATTACTTACGCAGGACGGTGTAATTAAGCACTTAGCCGTAAAAACAAATGTTAATTACATAAAGTGGAATCAATTGTATAGGAACTATTATTGTTTGTCATATAATTCATATTTTTATCGGGGTTTTACGAGGTTTCCAGGTTTTTCTGGGCAATTAGTTGCAAGTATCTACGAGTTGCTTTATGGATATTGCGCTAATTAACCGTGCTCCAATTTATATATCCGATACCCTGGCAGTAAATTACTTTGATACAGGACTGAAATACAATAGCAATCAGTATAATTAATAATTAACTATCATAGTTCGAACATTGTTGTTTTTAAGTCAATGCAAGGACACCATTACCTCTATTACAAAATCCCTATTAAAATGTGTTTTTTTGTTAAAAAAATCGGTCTATAAAAGTCAAGAAAATGGTTCTTATTACGACCGTCATCTTGGAAAGAGAGACTTTTTGTATTTAACTTAACTTTTAAAATTAATAATATAAACTTACAGTGATTAAATTTAAAAAATTTTAATTCTTTTTTTTTTCAAGCGTATAAAATGTTTTCTCTATGACTACTTAAGAATAGTAACATTCTAGTGTAATTTTTGATCATAGAAAGGATGTTTTTCTGCAATACTGTGCGAGAATATTCCTACTCTTGTTTAAGAATGGTCACAAGTAACGACATCTCCTGGCTGTTTACTAAACGTAAAAAATTTAAAAATATTTAAATATTACTGTATTATTTATTAATTAAAAAATAATAGCAGTTGTATAATGAAGGTTTAGGCACAAAAAATTAGTTATATTTATTGTTTTTCAAATATACAAATCAAAATTATAATAAATTTAATATTAAAATGATAAACCAGTTACCTACTATACCGGCTTTGAAGTTTTGACAGATTCAAAAAGTTTAAAAAAAGACCTTTAAAATGTAGAAAAAGAATAGATGTTGACATGGATTACTTGTAAAATTAGTTTTGTATTTGTTACAATGTTATTTTTTTATTAGTTATTGTAAATTACTATTTTTAATTATAATAAAGATTTAGGCATACCATTTGTTTAAATTTATTATAATTTACATTATAAAATTGTGACGGCACAAAATGGTTTGACAATACAAAAAACTTAAATGTCAAAAACTGCTTGGTTTCTTTTCTCTGTTTAAAATTATATAAGCGTTACTATTCTTACGTAGTCGTAGAGAAAATAATGTCTGAAACACGTTTGGAATAGCATATTCCACTCTCGTAAAACCGTCACACTCGCCTTCGGCTCGTGTGTCAAATTTTTCCTCGAGCGGAATATGCTGTATTCCAAACTTGTTACAGAATGTACTATTATGTTATAACACTCATAGGCCCATATAGAAAGATTACACCGTACAATACTGAAAATACATTAAAATAACATAGGAAGAGTGGTTCCATCTATCGCGTTAAGCTCGAAATCAACAAATAAAATGTAAACTTACAGGTCACTGTAGAATAAATGTATGTACATAACCTATAATATAACATATGTCAAACTTCAAACCTGAAAAAATGTTTCAATCTTGATAATTTGTCAGTACAGAATTATTAAACGCTAAAGAAAAATAGTATATACAACACGGCCTTAAAGCATATCTCTAGACTAAGGCTTCGGCAGTGTACACACTGAGCTCGGCTTAAAATAAGCGCTTTCTTCGCCTGATAGATAATATAATATTTTGTCAGAAGTTAGATAAAATAAAATTTCACTAATTTAGTGTCTTCTTACCGATTTTGTCCTTTTCCGGGATGTATCCCTGGTCCAATGAGGTGGCGCGGTCTGGACTAAGGGACTCGGGTCTGTGGGCAGGAGAGTAAGGGAAAAAAAGTCCGGGTAATGGATGCCACATGTATGGCGGGTAGGGTGACGTAACTAGCTGATTCAATGAGTTCGCGTACATCATCATGCCTGTAAAAAACAAACGCACATAAAATTTTATTTATTTTTTTTGAAATAAGTATGCATTAAGTTTTATTTTGTTATCGAATGTAATTAGGTTTACCGATTTCTTGGTAATTGTTTTTGTTATCGTGAGTAATTTCTATTGTTGCCTTAAAGATTCAGTAGCGGTACCATGATTAAATTAATTTGTATTTATTTTTACATCCCTTTTACTTTTCATATACAAGGAGAATGGGGAATTTTTTAACTTATCGCTATAACTTTGAAAAAGTTACTTAAAACTTAAGCACTGATTTTGTTTAACCACCCAATAAACATTTTTGTTTTTATAGTGGTTTCTATAAATGTTATATCATCTAAATTATAAAACCTAAATTTCCTTATTTAGTTACAGAAATATTTATGTCACTCTTCTAGCTTAAAGAGCTTATATGAAGGTAATGGGTACCTATTTTAGTAACACTATAAAACCCAAGTTTAATAAGAACTGCTACCGGCTTTTTTCCTTCTTATAATATTTCTCTCTCCCTCAGGCACATTTAAAATATATATTTTTTCATAGGTACGCTATCTTTCTTATTGATATCATATTCATTAACTTGTATAAACCACGTGAATATTTTAAGAAGCCGAAGGCAAAAATATTGATGGTATATAATTTAAATCTATTTTTTTTTACTTAAGTGTAAAGTAATTTTTATTGTAAATATGCACACAATACTTCAAAAAACGGCAGGGGACATTAAAAAACCAAAACATAAATATTTTTAATACTATTTAAAATATATAAATACATATTTTTTTAAATGCATTATATCTTTCTTTTGCTTACATTAAACAAAGTAATGAATATTTTACCTTGGTTTGGTAAATTAAGTTCTTTTTGTAATACAATTCGATTTACATTTATTTTATGTATCAACCTTAAGCCTTCTTATATTGCTCATGGTAATTTTATATAACTTAAGGTACTAGTTCAGTTTTATATAATTTTGAAACTGTCGTACTACAAGTGATGTTATAAAACTTTTGATAGGCAAAAATGGCGAACCTGACCACACTTGTCAGGTTCGCCATTTTTTCCTGCAGTAATGATGATTTAAACGCAATGGAATCAATTTATTTTACTTAACATTCGATGTAACCCACTTTTAAAATATTTATGTTATTAATATTACTAATATATTCTATGCTTAATATGTTTAATATTTTATTTTCATCCAAGTTTGAATTAAAATTATAAAAAAGCGTTGCGTTGAAAGCTAAGACAATGCTTAATTTTTGTTTCAATTACTTAACATTTTTGGTTACTTAAGCACATAAATAATTAATAACTCACATTTTTTATAATATTTTTATAAAACAGGTAACCGCAAACTTTATAAATCTCTTTTATAAGACCACTGGTAACGGTTACTATATATAAGTTAAATAAAATGTTTGTAGAAACAATTATATATTTTCTACTTAGAGTTTACAGTAACCTAGGTTACCTAGCTTATATGACCATTATAAAACTAGTAAACTAAGTGGCGATTTTATAAAACAAGGTTAAATTTGACAACCCTTATATAACATTTATATAATTTATCGTTACCATAAGTGGTACACATTGTTTAATGGGCAGAGCATATTTCTACTCCTATTACGGAATATGACCGTTCTATGATCACTTTTTAATGTGGAATTACATATATTTCTTAAAGTGTTCCAGAATGAATTCATTCTATCACCGGATAACGGAATAAACACTATCTAACAAATTTTAGACCGATCCAACCTCACTTTCTCCCAATAAAATTATTTTTCTATGGTATTTTTTGGCAACGTAGAAAAAGCATAGTTTAAAACACATTTAGAATTACATATTCCCCTCTCGTGAAACCGTCAAACTCGCCTTCGGCTCGTGTGAAAAACTTTTCACTAAATCAGGATTTGCCCTATTCCAAACTTTTAATATTATACGGACTGTTTACGTTTATGGAATACCCAATTGGCTATTTGCTGTTAAAAGTTATGAATCCGCAATATTAAGGATTTATATTTTATTTTATATTAAGGGGGTCATAATAAGAATAACAATTTATTACTTTTTTAATTTAGAACTCATAAAAATATTAATTTTAAGTTATATTAAAACTGTTCACAATATAATATTAATAATTAAAAAAACGGAACATTGTTAAAAATTAACAACAATTAAATATTTTCCGGGCGTTGATGTTGCCAAGTTTTTTAAGGACATCAAGTAAACACAATTTTTTTGTAAATATTTTAGATGTAGTTTTGCGATTTTGTACAAAAAGATGTTGTTTTTGTTTTTCATTTAGGTTGCAAATTTGGGTTTAGTATAAGTTTAACTTTAATTTTTTCAAAATATTAAATTTTTTTTTAGAAAATCGACTTTTGACACCTTGAGATACTGGCTTATAATAAAAACTAATCTTAACCTGAATTCTAATTCTTCATACCTATAGGTAGTATACTCTTTCATTTTGTTGTTATTTTTGTCTAATATGCTTTTCTAATATTTTTTTAGTAATTTTAGGTTTGTACGTTGACATATGCGTAGAAGACACATTTCCAACGTTTTTATATTTTTTTCAGGTTTTGTATTTACCACTTTTATAAATGCTAAATATAGTTTAAAGCGCTTAGGTACTCCTAAAATATCAAAGCTGTCTTCAATTTACTGGATTTTTTAATAACCATTCCCAAAACAGATTTTTATGTCAATTAAATAAAAATGTAGAAGTTAAAATTCGATACTTTACTATGGGAATGCTACTGTTTCAATTCAGGTAAACCTTGCAAAAAAACCCTTTGATTTAATAACGTATTTTTGTAATTATCAATGAGCCAACCAAACGAATTTGTATTGTGATAACATGTCTAACAATGTATGTATACCTAAGTAATGTTTTCTGTAAAGCTATTAGAATAATTACTTTAATTATTTGATATAACAAAAAATCAGAGTTGCGCGTACGTAAACAATCCTTTGGCAATTATTTCTGCTTATTGTGACACATGTTACATGTTTCTAAGTGCACTTACATTTAAAATTGTATACCAAGTTAACCGGAATATCATAAAATATTTTTTTGAAGATTTGCCTTTTGTGAATAGGTAGATTTAACATATAATTATTATTGTTTTCTATTACTAAATTACGTGTAGAAACATGTTTTTTTATCATGGCAATTATTTGTTTAAAATAGTGTCAATGCTTTCGCCATTATTAATTACATATTATGTACCTAGAGGTACTTTAAAATCAAACAACAATCGTTTTAAAATTTATAATTTTTAATTAAAAGCTTCCAAAGTTCGTTTCTGCTTTTAATTTAGATTTTATTGTCCATTTAACATTTTCACATTTTTAACTATAATAACCAAGAAATACATTAACTACACTAATTGTAAAACAAATTTTAAAGTAAAACATCAAAAAAGGTTTTTTCTACTCCCACCTTTAAATCGCCCTTTATCGTACATGTTTCCATGTGGCTTTATGGCGCTTTAGTCACGGGCTGAAGTTAGCAACAGGTTTTTATTCACGGGCTGAAGTTAGTTTTAAGTTAGTTGACAGTTGTCAAATGACATACAATCGTTAAAATAAATTGCTTTTCTTGTAAAATATTACTAAATGTAAAATTATTTTATTATCTCAATACAAAAATACAAAAGTATTAAATAGCTTCTCAACGCCAATATTTGAAAAGTTTATATAAACATTGTACTGACCTTTTAATTTCGCCGGCAGTAAACTATAACTTAAATTCGGGCATGGATTCTACTGTCCTCATAAAACATTTCCTTTACTTTCACTGTGAAAAACTGTCAATTTTCAATACATTTCAATTTATAACCTTTATAATTGTGTTTATAATATGTCAAAATGTGACATTTGACAGTTTCCCCTGTTGTTTCATAGATGGCGCTCTATACAAATTTTTGATTTAAATCATTTTAAGATAATAATAAGTATTTGTCGTAGAAAAAGTATAGTATGCACCTCGTTTATAAACTTTTCTATACACTCATTAACTTAAGCACTCGCTCGCAAGCTCGCTCGTGCCTAAATTAAATTCGTGTATAAAATGGCGTTTATTAAACTTGATACATACTATTTCGTGTCGGTGAGTGTAGTTAATGTATTTTTTGGTTATTATAGTTAAAAATATAAAGTCTTCTTTTGATTTATCAGATTTCTCAAAATAATAAAAACAAAGCAGTTGGCCAACTATGCAAATGTTAACATCTGCCGAAATTTTTTATTTGAATTGTTTTTGAAATTTACTTTAAACATGTTGTTTTGTTTATGCTTAAAATATAATACCGAAACAAACAGTTAACATTTTAAGTTTGTTTAGAAAACATTAACTGCTCCGTTTTTCGTGCCAGTAAGTGTATCAGGGACTTATTTCATTACAAATGATAAAAGACTGTTGGTACTTACCACTAACAGCCAAGTAGTTTTTACTTCTTTGCAAATCTTTTGGATAGACTAGAGAAAAGGCGGAATGCCTGGAGGAGGACGCCGGGGATCTGGGAGAGGAGGGACTGGCACTTCGGGAGGATACCGCTGCAACAGGACTGCTAGCAGGACTAAGGGTCGGCGATCGGGGCGGAGTTTCTTGTCCTGCCACGTTCGTGTACTGCGGCAGTATGGCCACGCGAGGCATCCTTCAAGAAAGAAAAGTTGTTAAATTATGCTTTAATTTTTTTTATAATTTTTTACAAATTTTGTTTTCCCCACAAACTCTTTTTGTTTAATCCAGTTTTTTTACCAAAATGTTGCTTAATTAACAATTTTACATTATTTCTTATGTTTTATAAACACATTACCTAATATTACTACAAAATTATACTTTATTTTGTATTTATTTTTTATTTAATAAAAAAACATAAAGCACAACAAAGGCCATCATTGCGTTTTTGTATGTTTTTAGGCCTTTTGTAATATTATTCGTATTATTTTAAATTTTTTCTTAACTTTTAAAGAATAAAAAACAATGTTTTGTCTCATTGCCAATTTGATAATATTAAATATAAAAAAATTCTTTCCTAGGCACATTTGAAAGAAATTTTCCCTAGTAATACCACTAGAGGTCAAATTATTTCCGGAAATTTTTTGGAGCTTATGAATATTTTGAAAATTATCCCGAGTCGAAGACGAGGGATAATTTTCTAAAAATATTCATGAGGGAGAAAAAATTTCCGGATTTAATTTGACCTCGTGTGGTATTCGGTAAGAAAATTCCACACCAAATTGTGTTTAAATAATTAAAGTTTATTTTTTGATTTAACTTGACCTCGACTTGATTATTTAGTTACCATGGCAACTAAGTCAACCCCAACCTAAAAGTTATTTCAGTTTTGAAGCTGTCAAGCGGCACGATGTAAAAAAATGTGAAATTGTCTGCTGTAATGATCAATCATCGTGCAATGACTTATTTACCCGCATTATTAGAGGATTGTGGCTCCTACTTAAAGAAAGAAAATTTGTTTTGAATTGTTCACGAATATTTGCATCTTAACTATTCAAAACTCAAAGTGCTAAATGGAAAAAAGGTGAATAGAATAGTGTCTAAATATTATATATATTTCATTAGACATAGACATTTAATTTATTTCAAGTCCTGCATTTTCGCTATTAAGAAGAAAGGAGGTGTCCAACGAATATAGAAAACATCTAAACTTTGTAATGGAAATGTATCAAAATTATCATGTAAACAAATAAAAACCAGATTGTCAAAAAAATATTCTGTCATTATAAACGTCAAAAAATTTCCAGTATAATTCGCTGTTGGGTACCCACGAGGAAAAAATTTCCACTAAAATTCAACCGTTGCCATGGTGATCTATCAAAAATACACGTTTTGATTGGTTAAAAATTACAGGTGTGGAATTTTCTTTGAAATTTTTCATTTTTACTTTTTATCAATTTTTTTAATTATCTTTTTTTGTATTGAACACAATTTATAAAATGTATTTAGGATTTTTCGAGGTTTGGATAATATTTTCATTAAATGGAAAAAAATATTCGAAATTCCGAAAATTATTTAGGTAAAGATTGTTAAATATTTTCGGATCAGATCGTCATTTTTCTGTGAATTCAATAGACGAGAATTTTCGAAAGTTTTATTAATCGCCGACTAAAGCGGACTTCAAAATTCCGACTAATAAATTTGCATTTTCAAGTGATTCCAAAGTCAATTAAATTGAGTCAACAAATTTTTTTTTTACGATTTTCGATAAATTAAGCGTAATTTTTAAAAAGTCAAATATTTAACGGAATTTGTACAATGGATTATTTTTTTTCCTGGGCGATAAATGCTGTAGCTACGCCCTTAATTAAGTTTATTTGTTCGCGAATTCGTGTCCCTTGCAAAAATGTTATGAGAAGTCGAATAGATATGGGATTTTTATTTAAAAAATGACTAAATCAATCTAACCTATGTATGCTTTACATTAACATTTTAAGATTTAAAAGTTGGCAAAATCTTCTAAAACTTCGGCATTTTAATAAAAATCCCCTAATAATTATATTTGGAAAAGTTAACCACCTTAACAAAAACTATGTTTTAATTTAGCGCATTCGCCATTTTTGAAAATATTTTTTTACATTTTGGTTTTTTTAACTACTCTTTATCTATATGTTATAATTATTAAAATTGTATAAAAAACATAATTTATATAGATTTAAGTTTTATTTTAGTTTTTGCCATTTTTAAAAGCCTACATAATTTTAATCATTTTGGTAATACAATTTAATAGGTATTATTTTACAAATTATACTGTAAAACCTACATAAATCTACACAAAACATTGTTTACCAAAGTTAAAAAGCAAAAACACAAACCCCGCCATAAAGATAGCGAGGATATCTTTATCATTACGCCAACATGTAAGGTGCCACTTTGAACATACAAAAAGCATAATAATAATCGCGGTGTGCGTGTCAGACAGCAGAGGGTGGCTAGATGCTATTGTTAAGGGACGCTAATGTCCATTTCCGACCATTCCACCCATAAAACAAAAGCATTTAGGGCGACAATCTCGGGTGATCAATAGAGAAAATCATTTTTGGATCGCGTGATATAGTACACTGGACACAAAACAGCCAAATAAAGTGGGATTATGGCCAATTGCGTCGATTAAGTTCGATTTGAGTTGAGGGTGCAATATATGATGGATATCTTCTGAGATCGTTAATTGAATAGATTAAATCATTATCTATACAATTATAAAATAACCATTTCTGAAGGTTTCAATTATTTTTTCAATTTAAATGAAAATATAGAAATTACGGATCACGGATCCCCAAATAGTTCCATTTGGATTTGCGTCTCATTTTTGTTTTAACGAAATGTTATCGCGAATGTTTGCTTTGTATGGAGATTTTTTTAAATTCAAAATTCGATAAATAAAAATAATAAAAAAATTGCTAAAAAACCGCTTGTGTAAAAATTTATATTTACGCCAATTATTGCTTCTGTCTTTTGTAGGACTGTATTTAAATAAAAAAATAAACTAAAATAAGTATTTATGCGAGTTTTTAAACAAAAAAAATGACACTGCTTAAACAAAATGTTTAAAAAAATATACAGTCACTATTAAAATAAATGTAAAAAAATTTGCAAACATGTTTTTTTTTTAATATGTAAGTATTAAATAAAGAAATATACTAAAATATGTATTCATACAAGTTTTAAAATAAAAAACAATGCAACACAATATACAATTGATAGATAAAGCTAAAAAATGTTGTATATTTGATTTAAATTGGACAAATATTGTCCATGTTATAACATGCCATATATGGCACTTTAAATTTTGTTGCACCACATTGTCGAATTTTGGCTAAAAACTATTTTATTTTGTTAAAAACATGCGAAAAAGTTTATGAAAGGGTATAATTTTTTTTTTATTAGGACCTATCTTTTTTTGCATGTCGAAAAAAACTTTTCTTTTACAATATGCTGAAAACAAGAGCTAATGGAGCAAAATGATGGTCATTTTTGGAATTAGCGCAACCAAAGTACTCTAGAAGCAAAATTGCTGTGGACCAGTGTTATTTGACATATATGTCAAATAACCTATAGGTATACCTATAGGTACTTAATAAAAGCAATCTTAAACGAAATAAATGTCAATTAATATATATAAATATACATATATCATATATGATCTTCGAATTTTGAAATGAAAAAAGACAACATATAAAGCAAATTATACTCAGTCCATTTATGATATGGATTTTGGGTAAAATATTCGTACTCATTAAGCAGCCAAACAAAACAAGAAATTATCTTGATCTGAGGACGAGCATATATTCCTATGTATTTTGACGCGGTGATTTCGAATCCGCCATAGGAGTTGGCCCAACGGGTCCTGGCTTGGCTCTAACCTCAAAAAAGGCATCAAAGCAGCTAAACTCAGATATTTTTGAGGTTAGCGCCAAACCAAGACCCGTTGGTTTAATTCTGATGGCGGATTCGAAGATACTTTTATTGTGTTTTGTATTTTTTTAAATTAATTTTTTAAAAATCATTTTATAACAATTTTATATTTTCTTTAATAAAGGACTTTTACCTACATACCTATATGTAGTTTACATTTTATTTAGTATAAATTCCTTGTGTTAATTACATTTTAATTTTAACCAATTTATGTTTTTTCGGTAACTTATAAGTAGGTTCAAAATTTATATTTTTAATAATTTCTTATTTCTGTAAGAGATTATTATTTTAAAAGTGAATTTAGTTATGTATTTAATTTATTTAATGACTCAAAATAGTAAAATAGTACCTATTAGTATTGTATACTAAGGGTTTTTTAGAAATAATTTGGTGGTTTTCAAACTCCTAACTGAGAAATTATACCTTAATTTTATCATTTACCTACTGTATTAAATCTTCTAGATTTATTCAAAACAATTATAAGAAACACTTACAAGATGATAATTTAAAAATGAGAAACTTGCAAATATGGCGAATGCACCACACGCCTTTCAAACTTACCTTAGACTTGATAATCTGCCGTATACGGTATAGCAAAACAAAAAAATCAAACTTAATGCAAAATGGCACTTTCACAAAACTGTTTCAAATACATGAGACATCGAGTCTCTGATATCATCACAACACTTCTGTCTCTAACACGATTGTTCCAGTCAACGAACGTCTTTACGAAATTTTTGAGTTGAATTCAGTTTAGTCCTTTGGAGTACACAACGTCCGAAGCCTCGTACTTGACTGAAAATTCACCTTTGAATCGTCCAGGTAAAACTTTCCTTGTCTCCCTCTGTCTTGGCTTGCCATACAAAACACGTGCCACGAACGCATCCCTGTGCCACCCATTCCACGGCTTTACTGCAATACTATTGGTTCTCACCTGCCAGTAGGCGGAGCTTAGCTGTTTGTGAACCACTGATTGGCGGTGGAGATGTCTCGGATTGCTTGATAGAGTATTTAATTGTTAATTGATTGTTTTGTTGATTTTTTTACGGGATTTTAAGGTTAATTCTTGAATTAATTACCGATGGCACTTCTCTTTACGCGTTCGTAGAATTTACTGTTGAAGAAGGCGTTTATCGTTTTCGCAATGATAAATATAATAATGGATAAAGATGACGGCATAGATAAGTTGATTAATTGTTTTCTTTCTTTGAGACTGGTAATGTCTAATGCTATTGAGACATCCAAAGCTATAAAAATATTAGTTGGATAAATTAAATTTTTATGTTGATTACATCAATTAACATATCTCATGTTTATTTTATATATTCAGGGACGGATTTTGAACCGGGCCCATAATTCAAAGGCACCCAACTTGATCTTGACTGTTTGTTCTAAAATATTTGTTTATCTGTAGATAGTAGTTTTACTTGTTTAAAACAATTCGATATTGAAATAAATTGGAAGCACTCTTCAAAAATTAATTAGTCAAAAATGACTAATAGTCATAGCGAAAAAGCAGCCACTATATATATGAATGATTCTCGTCAATAGCAATTTATGTACCGAACATTTAGCAGTCAATTTCTATGTAAAATTTTTCAATTCTTCATATAATATGAAATTGGCGATATCTCAAAAACTGCTCTACTTTCATAATTTTTGACGTTATTTTTGACGGTTTTTTCGGATTCAGGGGACAATTCTAAATAAGAATTGTCTGTTAAATGTTGGGCATATATAAAATTTAGGTTTTTAAACTGTAAATTTTTTAACGGTGAAAAAGAGAATTTGACAAATTTTCATTGTTTTTGGTACCTAAAAATAAAATGAGTGAATGAAACCTTATTTATTTAAATATTATTTAATTATAAAACCATTTATTTTGACATTTTGCTGCAACTTTAAATTTAGATGACTTTGTTAGATTATATTTTACTGCTAAATTAAGTAAATTTGTTTTTTTTTGCTAAAAAAGGTCAAAAAGGCAAAAACTATGCTTGATTGGATTAATTAAGTTTGAAAAAAAAACATAAAAAGAAAAAAAATATTTGAAAACAAAAGGTGAAGAAACCTTGAAATAAGAACAAAAAATCGGTTTTATTACGTTACATCTCTACCCAGGCCCAATATTCAATCAACATTTATAATTTATTCAAAAAAGTTATGAAAAATTGGGTTCAGTGCCTTCAAAACCTTATTGGTATCGACGGTGGGCAATTCATAATAAACAAAATCAAATCAAACTCCAAGCAGTTTTATCCAAAAAACAAATTTCTAAAAAAAATGTTAAACTCGTTTATTCTTTTTTATAATCTGGACTTTTGCAAATCTTCATTGGCATTAACCTCAAAAAAGCAAAATATTTAAAAACGCTTTCAAATTCAAAATTTCAAATTCGGCCCTGATATCTGATGTGTCTTTTAGATATTCATATGTGTTCAGTAGCTGATATCATGTCATTTGTAATTCAATTTAATAATGATTAATAAATAGAAAAATTTTAGTAACAATGTGCAAATACAGTAGCTTAACGTTATTTTTTTTCTAGTTGGCCTCATTGTTAATGTATCATTTAGGAATATTTGTTTTCGAAATCAAATATTAATTGATATTAATGATGGATCAATTTAGAAAACATAACAATTGTTTATTTTTTTCTTCAAATTGACTGCAATCATTAAATTAATCAATTAGTTATGTTTTTCCCAAATAAGGTTTATTATATCTATAGGTATACCTGCGTTTAGTTTTATTGTTTCATAATATTATGGTTATGACAAGTTTTTGGCATGGGCTGTATAACGTATAAATCCGGAAATGGTCATAAACATTTCAATAACGATAAATTTGCCTTAGGGTATACCTATAGGTACCTACTAAAGAATCAATTAATTGTATATTGTGCGACTAGTGAAGTTAGAGCGAGTGAAATCTCCTATTTCGACCAACACGTAACAATATTTTATTCAACTACCGCAAAAAATATACATAACAGTGTAAAAACGAATTATGGACAATTAAAGATATTTTAGTTTTATTTGATATTTTATCTGACAATAATTTTTAATTATTTAAATCTATCAAAGAGTTTCAATGTCACTTTTTTAATTTTAATTTAAAGCTAACTTTAGTCCGTAAGCGAAGTAGCATTTCGCCCACGGGTTTTTAAGAAAACAGGTTTATAATAAAACGTTTTTTACATTAGTTTCTTGAAAGAAAAAAACTCATATTAACCAGTTTCCCGAAAAACCTCGTTTATAAGATGTTACAATTTTTAAAATGTACTGATTTTTTTTTAGAATCTGAAAAACTTTTGTTCTTTTTTACAATGGCGTCGCCAAGGAAGGCAGGGGGACAGCTGTCCCCCGTAGATTTGGCAAAACTAAATCAAATGCCAGATCACTTATTGTCCGATTTCTAATTCCTATCACTTGCGGTTTGGGAGTAATTAACGTTTTTCTAAAATAAATCCCAAACAAAATTTTGACGGATCGATTTATATTAGCATTTTAACCATTTAGGGTAAAAAAAATATTTAAATTCATTAAATTAAACGAATTTAAACCGATTAAGTTATTTTTAATTAAAAAAAAATTGCCGGTCATTTTGTTTTAATTCGATGATAATTATCTTTTAGTACGTACTGCATTATTTTACTTTAATTCGTGTTTTATATTGCCCAATTTCAACTAAAAGTGTTTAACGAAACTAAAAAATTTCCAAGTAACAAATCAATGACCGTCCCGGAGCAACTTTTCACCAAATTTGGATTTCCGGTAAACGGACAAAATTTGAAGGAAAAATCGAAAAATTTGGTCGACAAGTAGATCTCCTTGACAAAATAATGTAAACATTTTGACTTATCACCGGGATTAGAGAAAAAGCGATTCACAGAACAAAAAATAAAAGTTTTTCAGAATTAGATTGCGTATCAATTCAAATTTACATTTAAAGTTACATTTATCGCTGCTCCTATACCCTATAACCTATAACCTATAGGTTATACTTTACAAATTGTTTGTAAACGACCGAAGGTTATGTTAAGACCATCGGCGAAAGCTAAAAGTTTAGAGGTTTATCAGAAGACTATTTTCTACTTGTAAACTCGGGGGTTTACAGGCAGCCTGTTAAACGTGCGGCTTTGGCTAAACCTCAATTTTAGCTGAAGCCGAATGTTTGGCCAAAAGTGGCTTCGCAGGACATTGAAAAATTGTATTTACCTAAACTGCAATTCATATCCTCTATCTATCATCTCGCCCCCCTAGCTCATGGCTGACGTTGATTTTGTATCTTCATAACATGTTCTATTTTTGGTAACTGAAAACCTTACACAATTTTTAACATATAGAAGTAGAAAATATTAGAATTTTACATAATACAAGTCGATAAAAACAATGAAGCTTCAATCAATTGAAGTTAATGAATTACTGGAATTATTGTTTGCCCAGCATGTCAGAGTCGTATCTAGGGGCTGCCAGAGGCGAAAACCTCAAGGCGCCGCACTTAGACTCACAGCGTATAAAAGAATATTTAATCAAAACCATTTAACAAATTTCTGTACAAAATATTCAATGCGGACTCGTAATGAACTAAAATTTTACTAATTTTATACCTAAAAAAGCTTAAATGTATAACTTAAATTACACTTTAAAGTTAACGCCCAGGGCAAGATTAAAATCTTGTCCTGGGCGTTCATGACCTTAGCTACGACTCTGCAGCTTGCTACAGGCAATGTCAAGATATTTGATTTATTGAATAAACTTTTTATAAATAAAAAAAAACATACACCATATATGTTATCTACTGTTTGTATTAACCTTTCCTGGAGAGTCAATAAAAAAATCATTACCTACTTTTTTTTTTGTTTAATTTTCCATATTTTTACCTCTAAAGTAAATGACACTAATTTCAGGGCTTGGAACAACTTGAAAATGTAGCTATTTTTTATATAAGGTATCTCTATATATCTGGGAATAATAAATTTAATTAAAACTACCCCACTTTAACAGTATCAAAATAAAATTCAAAAGTGTTAAAACTTAAATAAAACATTGCCGTAAACCTTAAAAAATGAAAACAATTTAATTGGGTCAGCATTCCGTTTAAACTGCCAGTTGACATTGACGTGGTTGTTGTTGATAATGAAGAGAAGTCCGTTGAAGAAGCAACGCTTGCGGCGTTGTCACGCCATCGTCCGAAAAGGTAGCACATGGCGCGTGCTCACCCCGCCGTGACAACGCAGCGTACCTATATGCCCCTCTTCAGCTCATCAACTAAATTGTTAACAGTTCACCCCCGCGCCACCAAACGTAAATTGCCGCCACTTTTGTTAATTGATTCGATTTTATGATTGAAAAATAGTGGTATTTGTAAGAGGATTGTTCTTTGGTTTAAATATAAGAACACTCAAAAAGTAACCTAAATATTCCTTTAGAATGTTTTTACTCATAAAGATTGACGAGGATTAACTTTTGTTTTTGATTTCATTTTTTAATCTGCTTATTTTTTAATATTTTTAAAATAAAATATATATTTTATATATTTTATTTCCCAAGTTTCTTTTCTTGGGTATCATCTAAATTATTTGTTTACAGTTGGATTTGTATTGCTGGGTGGAGGGTAGCCTCGCCGTCGCTGCATGCACTTGGACCACATTTGGCCCTTTGTACCACCTTGAAGATCCATTTTTCCTGGATGGCTCAAACGTTTTCTAGCCATCCGAGCTTCCGAAAGAAATCTATAAGATATAGGAATGGATCGAGCTAATGTTGAATGTATCAACCTATTCTTCACCTATGGTGGATATCCTGGATTCGAGAAGACCAGGACATTCACAAACAATCTGTGTCACACTCTCTTCCCCTCAGTTACATGCAGGGAGAACTGTCTCCTTTTCTTTTTTTTTCTTTCTTATGATTTCCACAGAAAATGTTTTGACTAAATAATTGTAGTATTTGGACAGCTTGTTGGACGGATTACTAATTTTAGTTTGTCTGAC